CAAATTGCAGCTTTCATGCAGTAGTAATGAAACAGTATAATCATTCTGAATAATTCTGCCACCTTTTACAGCTTTCACAGGGTGTTATAAATTATAAAGCAACAAATCTAAAACTCTAAATGGTGTCTTGGAGTTTGATCTGTCTTGTTTTATGTAACCTGTTGGGTTTTGAGTACCGCTTGGTAGTCAGAAAAAGAGCATATTGTTAGACACCAACATATTAGGCTAAGTTTATGATATAACATTGCTGTCATTAAAGATGACAGTCACATTTTGTAATAGTAAGTTTATAGTTATTTTTGCTAATAAAAATTTTCTTTTATTTGTTGTGTATTTGTAAGGCTTTTGTGGTGATTATTCTTTTGAGCCTGGATGAAATTAAAGATAAAAATTTCTAATTGAAACTTTCTTGGCTAAATATAATTACTATGGGAAAAGTGAGGTGGAAAGAATTCAAAAACTAAGCTAGTTAAATATCCAGCTGCATATATTTATTTATAGTCTTCTACCGTGTACATTTGTTTTCCTATAGTGTAAAACTGTTTGGAAGTTTAAATTGGAAGACTATTTATACACTTAAAATAGGCACTTATTTAAAAATAATGGGGTAAATTATGACGAACAAATGAAGTGCATTTGGCAGCTTCTGAACATGATTGGATTCTAGACTTGAAAATCTGTTTAAGATTATTTTTATAGCAATGTGATTGTATTGGTCCAGTTGCTGTGCCAATTCTTGAGAACTTGTGTGGAGGTTATAGCAGGAGAGTGCAGCTACGTGGACTAAAGAATGGTCCTCCCTTAACAGGGAAGGTCTTCATCCTTTTAGACCTAGCGCACTACTTCAGGGTGGACACACAGGGAGTGGCAAGGGAGGACGGAGACACCTGCCTAGCCAGCCAGGCCAGCTGAATCAACTCTGGCAATCAATGGGGTGACAGATGTTGCAGCCAGATCACCCTCACATCCAGCTGTGCCAATTATAAGTACAATATTACTTAATACCATTGGTGTTGGGTGATGATTTTATTCATTATATATAAAATCTGAGTAAGACATACTTAGTTCCTGGGAAACAGTCTGAAAAGTATACCATTGCTTATTTAAAAAAATTATCCAGTTAAGGATGAAGAAGTAAATTTTTACTGAGATAGCTCCTCTCACACTAAAAGAGATGGCTATTTGGGTAATTGAGTAACTTGCCTGTTTTTGTAAAGTTTTTTGGAACACAGCCATGCTGATTCATTTATGTATTGTTTACAGCTGCTTTGATGCTACAGTGGTGGCATTGAGTAGTTGGTGTAGGTATCATATGATCTTCAAGGCTTGAAATATTTATTAGTTGATCCTTTAAGAAACATTTTGCTCTATATTTAGGTCTTTTGTAGTCAGATTGCATTAAAGTTCTGGTGGAGGTTAAAAAGTTTAATATTTTCATGTTTAATAATTCCCTATTCTGCCTCATCCTAAGAAAGAATACATAAAACAAGCGTAGTTATTATGAGTGTTAATATTAATTTCTAGCTTGCTCATCCATAAGTAGGTATGATACCACCTTGCAGTGTTGCTATAAGGAGTATTTAGGAAATGTAAATAGAATGCTTAGATTAGTGTTTGGCAACCAGAAAGAATTTAGGCAATGGGGAGATATAATCAGGGAAAGTCTTGATGTTTGGGTGATTTAAAGTGGTATGTTTTTAGTTTCTGATTTGTCTGAACTAGCTGCGGACCCAGTTTATCCAGGGTCTCGATATAACATTGCTGATCAATTTCTCTTCATACTCTCTTCCTCCTTTCTTTCCTCTCCTCTCCTTCTCCCCGTCTTCATATTTTCTTCTCCTCTGTTTCCTTTTTGATATATATAAGCATTGGAACTAAATTTGGGAAATTATTCCTAGAGAGAATTTGCAGAGAGCCTCAAACAGAATATTCTCTATTATTATTAGCTCCATTTTCTAGGAAGCAGAGGAACCCTAAAATCTTGGGGTCTCCCTCTCCTCCTTAATTTTTGTATGATAATGTATATTGGCAGCCGTCCGGGTAATATATATAAAATTCATTCCTTTTATAGCAAATATTAGGGCAGGTCTTTAGTTTTTTTCTTAGACCATGGAACTAAGGATTCACCTTTAGGCATGTCTGATTTTCTTCTAGAAGGCAGGATAAATGATAGATTATCCCTAAGATTTTAATGGCAACTTGAAGATCTAGTGATGATGAAACTGACAGTCATATTAGTTAGAACTCTTGGTTATTATTTTATGAAAAAATGAACTTAAAATGCTAAGTTAGGGTTGGGGTTGTGGCTCAGTGGCAGAGTGCCTGCCTGCTATGTGTAAGGCACTTGGTTCGATCCTCAGCACCACATAAAGGTAAATAAATAAAATAAAGGTATTGTGTCCATCTATAAAAAAAAGAAAAAAAAGCTAAGTTATTTTACTTGATAGCTCTTGTTAGAAGAGCAATTTGAAACTTTGGACTTAATCCCTTCGAGTAATGGTAAAATCAACATTGATATAAATAAGAGAAGAAGGAAAAATTATCTTAAAATACTTTTGTTTCTATTACTATTTATTATTATTTTGTGGTAGTTTTTAGTTGTAGATATCACAGAAAAGATACAAAATTCTAGGTTGATACAGTATCAGTAGACCTTTAGGTAATAGTGTTAACAATTTGCCATATTTTAAAAAGTTTTAGGTTCCTCATTTGAAATCTTATAATTCATAGTAAATTTAATTCTGTTTTAATCCAATTAAATTATCTTGTTTAGTAAATATGTCAGCATTTCTCATAAAATGTTCCAACCTTTTAAAAGCAAGTATCTAAAGGCATTAGACCTAAATTTTATAAACTACCATTCATATTTAGTATATTTCCTATTTTCTCATTATTTTATAGTGAACCAAGATTTTGATATAGACAAGTATCAGTACCATTTTTTTCCTATGAGGACACTGAGTCACACAGAGAAACTATTTTTTTTTTTTTTTTTTTAGAATTGCAAGTTGTATCAGTGTAAAGTTAGAAAGGTAAATGTTGAATTTACCTTATGTATTTATAGGAACAGACAACAAAGTTTAAAAAATAATTTTGTGCCTTTAAATAGTTAGATAACATGAAAGACAAGGGATTGTTTCAGTTTTTTTAAAAATTTGCTGAGAAATGAATTAAACATACTTCTCAAAACAAGAAGTACAAATGACCAAAACTTATTATTTTTTAAAATTAGAGCTTAATGGTTACACATAGTAGTTGGGTTCATCCTGACAAACCCTACATGCCCAATTATCTAAAAAAAAAAAAAAAATTCAACATCTCCAACCATCAGGAAAATGCTAATCAAAAACTACATTGAGATTTCTTCTCATTCCAGTCAGAGTGACAGTCATCAAGAACACAAATAGCAATAAAGATGGCAAAGGATGCAGGAAAAGGGAACCCCTGTACACTGTTGGTGGGAATGTAAATTGGTATAGCTATTATGGACATCAGAATGGAGGTTCTTCAGACAACTAAAAATGAAACTCACATATGATCTAGCTGTATACCACTCCTCAATATCTATCCGTAAGAACTAAAGACAGCATACTTTAGAGATAACCTGTGTATCTCTAAATGCATGATACATTTATTGTAGCACAATTCAAAATAGCTAAGTTATAGACAGCCTAAGTGTCTGTCAGCAGATGAATGAATAAAAAATGTGGTATATATACACAATGGAGTTTTATTTAGCCAAAAAAGAACGAAATTATGTCATTTGCAGGAAAATGGATGGAACTGGGGAGCATTACATTAAGTGAAATAATCCAGACTCAGAAAAGTGCCATATGTTTCTCTCATGTGGAAACTAGAGAGAAAAAAAGAAAAAAGAGGGTGGGAGATATCATGAAAATAGGAGGGAGACCATTAGGGTAGAGGAAGGGAAGGAGGGGGCTAGGGAGAGGAAAAGTGAGCCAGGGGAGGTACTGGGGCATGAAATTGATTATCAAATTATGTTATATGTTTGTATGAATATGCCACAATTAAATCCCCTATTATGTATAATTGATATGCACAATAAAATTAAAAAAATTTTTTTGCTAAGAGGTTCAGAGTTTTATCTTGGCAGGATATGTAGAGAGTAGGAGGAGAATTGTGAGACTTGGTGAAATATATAGTTAGTATTAGCATATGGTTTCTTGTGGATGAGAAAGACTGATAATAGATTGATTTTGGGGAGAGGGAAAACAAGAAATACTTATTTTGGAATAATGAATTTTGTTTTCTGTTCCTTGATTAAGCTGCTGATTAACTGGCAGCTAGCAGAGACAAGTAAAGATATCTTTGGCACCTGGATAGGTTATCAAACAAAACAGTTTTTAGTTGTTTATGAATCCTCCAGATTCATAAACAGTCATGTTTGACTGTTTCTTATATGTAAGAGGTTATCTCTGTTATGTTGGCTAATATCCTTGTTAGCACTGTATTTCTTTTATGCCAGATCTGCATTAGAAATTTCTCACTTACTTTGTGAAGGTCTTGTTTCCATGATCTTTTTTTCATTTTATATTCTTTGATGTGTTAGATGGATTTTCCAAAAGTTAAAGCTCCATCTTCTTGGGATTTTGTTGCCATAGTAAATCATTATTTTAGCTTTGTTTGCATGTTACTTCTTAGTTCTCAAAGTCATGCTTAGATCAAAAAGTCTTAATCGTCTTGCAGCTGTATGGGAGACTTACTACAAAACGTAAAGCTTATGGAGTAGATGGGAGACCTAAACTACAAAACATAAACATGTGGACTGGATTTTTCTAGACAGTTATCCAGAAGATATTAGTAAATCAAAATGTATACCCTTAGCAATTTATGCTTTCACTTAATGTTGCTTTGAATGTTTAGGTTATGATTTTGAAATATTTTACAAATTTTCTTTTCCGTAGTCTGACTTATTACTGTATGCTTTATCTTTAATGAAGAATGGGAATAATCTTATGGTAAATTCTTTTTTCTTACAGTCAAAGGCCATTGGTTTGTTAGATGTAGATGTGTATGGTCCTTCAATTCCAAAAATGATGAATCTGAAAGGAAATCCAGAATTATCACAAAGTAAGTAAGAAGAGATAAATATTATGATAAGACTTGGACTTTTATATAGTATCTTCTAAGTGTCATAACTGTGCCAGATGCCAAGTGTACATTATACATCATATAGTATAGTGATTTAGAAATCAGATATGCTACCACACTATCTGGGTTTGCATCTCAGCTCTGGCACTGACTGTGTATCTATGAGTAAATTGTTTAGTCTTTTAATACCTTGACTCCCTATGTATAAAATAGGCTAACAATTGCTATGAGAATTAATATAAGTGTAATGTATTTGGTAAGTTCTGGCACATAGTAAATGATCAAATATGATAGATTTTCATCAGTCTCTTTCCATTAAATGTGTGGATGTATTGGAAATATTTGAATAGAAAATATATTTGGGTTAGGACAGATGAAAATTATTTTCTTCAAACAGATTTTTATCAGATTTTTCCTAAAGCATTTTCACAGAAGCCCTAAACACTGGTGCCATCAAGAGGAAGAAGTAATTTTTTGAACAAATCTTTTATATTTACTGTTTTTGTTATTACATTTTCTTGTAAGGCTATCAAATATAAATTTTAAGAATAAGAAAATTCTATGATCAAAAAAAATGAAAAATTGGAAAAGCTGTTAATTTTTCTTGAAAAATTATTTTATGTCAAATTGGTTTAATAAAATTGATTTGTAATCATAATAAGAGGATACAGTTGAATAATTTTTTTTGGTTTCATATTGGGCTTCTTATTTTCTATGAGTCAGGGACAAAATGATCACATTTACTTATGGATATTTATTGGATTATCTATGTAATAGAAGTATTATTTTTGTTGTTATTAAAAGTTATTTAGACATTGTCTGCTATTTTCGGTGCATTTGTTTGTGGTTTATTTGTGGAGTAAATTATAATGTTAAAATGTGGATAATTCAGTATGAGAAAGTAAAGTTCTCTGTAACATTCTGAAGAAAGCTTAAAGATCTAGTGACTAAAATTAACTTTAGCAGTTGTTTTCTTGTTTCATGAAAATATATATTTAAAAAGCTGTTATTCTAGTTTCTTTGTCCTTGGCTTTTAGTGCAACACATACTTAGTTTGCAAATACATGACATGAGCCAAGTTGACAAACTTTCACAAAGGAGTAATGAATTTGTGTACTATAAATGATAGAGTCCTTATGCCTGGCTCTTGATTAAAGTGATGTGAGAACTGGTGCATGCAGCCATGAGTGATGGCAGAACAGAGCCTCAGTGTCAGCCTTTTCTTAAGTAGTCTGTTCAGTCTATGCCAACGTAAGTACTTGAAGTGAACTTTAATTTCTTTCTTCTTGTTTTACTGAAGCTTTAATCTTAAATTTGATGTTTGCAAATTGGCTGCCATTAAGTAGGCTTTCTGGTAAAGATGAGATACTGGAAATCTTGGAAAGCATGGGGGGGGGGAACCTTTTTTGTGCTGACAAGCTGATCTTAAGTTCCTCAGGAAATAAATTGAATGATTTAGGCATTCACTCAAAAGAATGTGGATTTTTGAAAACTCAACTTATGAATTATTTTTGAACCTTAAGAAAACCTGCTGCTATTATACTAATTGGCATCATTTTGACATTTTTCATTTTATCATGTTAATTTATCCTGTTACACTCTCTATTCCAGAAAACACAATGCAATGTAAAAATTACCTAATTTACAATAAAGAAAATCTGTGAATGACTTGTTTTCAGCAGTTCAGGTTTTAGGGAGATAGACCAGCTTTTAGGCATTCTTCTGTTCTTGGACTGAGCTGGACAACCTTAGAGGGAGTAGGACTTCAGCATTGTCTGTTTCTCTTCATTATTTAAATAGATTATGGTAATGCAGTTTTCATCAATTTGTTTATTTTAAAACTCCATGGTAGGGTTGATGGCTCTTACGTTTATTCACATTCTTTTCTCTATTTGAGGAAGTTGTAGAACAATTAGAAAATTTTGGAGAACATATATTTTACGATTATGACATTTTAGCCTTGATTATCAAGAGAGATTTTATATCTGATTTTAGCAAAATGAATTTAGTGATTGGAGAAGAAATTTAAGTTTATACTACTTTTGCATTCCTTAGCCGGAGAATGTTTCTATCAGCTTTAAAATGACAGTAGTGATTTTTCTGTTAGCATACAAAATTTTGGTAATGGGAGGTCCAGAAGTTTGTAGAAAGGATATTATTATAGAAAAACATAAACTATTTGACATTGTATTAACTGCACACGACCAGTTGCTTTGGGAACCTAATAGAATTTAAAATAAAATCTATGTGTGGTTGGAAAAACTAGCATCTAAACCTGAATATAATCCCCTTCCCCTTTTGAAAACGAAAGAACAAATGCCAGTTCTTTCTATTTAAAATTTCAAAGTCATATAATATTCAAATTTTGTGTTATCTTGTAACTGAACTATAATCCTTATAATTAATTGACTAGAAAGTTTTCAGTTGAAATGGCAAATGAATATTAAATAATAGTTATACTCAGATGTATTGCTTCATTCCACCAATGTAATAGTCTTTATTATGACCAGGTTGAGGGCTTTCACTAAGTGTTTTAGTCAGCTTTTTCATTGCTGCAACTAAAAGTTCTGACCAGCACAATTGTAGAGGAGGAAGATTTTATTTGGGGTCTCATGTTTCAGAGGTCTCAATCCATGGACAGCAGACTCCATTCCTCGGGGCTCAAGATGAGGCTGAATATCATGGCAGAAGAGTGTGGCAGAGGGAAGCAGTTCACATGATGATCAGAAAGCAGAGAGAGATCTCCACTTGCTGGATACAAATATATACCTCAAAGGCATGCCCCCAATTCCCACCTCTTCAAGCCACACCCTACCACTTCAGTTATCACTCAGTTAATCCCTATCAGGTATTAGTTTACTAATTGGGTTAAGATCTCACAACCCAGTCATTTCTCCTCTGAACCTTCTTGCATTGTCTCACACGTGAGCTTTTGGGAGACACCTCACATCCAAACCATAACATTAAGCTTTCTAAAATGATTTACTGGTAGAAATCTCTGCTTTCTTTCATAGTTTTGTGATAATGTCCCTTTAAGTATACTTGTGAATTTGTTACTAAGTTTTACTGAAGAGTGTCTTTTGAAGTACGGAGCTAATAAAGTAGGAAAATTTTGAGACCTTGTTAAGAGAGCTTACTAAAATAGGGATGTCAAGCAGTTTTATTGGGGATGACACAGTGATTATTAATGATGAAATGTGAGACTTTTTTGAGTGGGATCCACATGTCCTTTCTATTGTTGGGAGATAGTAATTTTGCACTCATATTACAGTTTTATGCTTTAAGGAATTTAGCTTTTTTTTTTTTTTCAGATTTAGGAATGCATAGTATGTGGCCTTGTGAGAATTTGTAGGAAATCAGCATCAGCAAATGACCTAGTATAATAGCATCTGTCTCTGGAGTTTATGAGGAAGGGACTAAGAGTTCTTAAAGGTAATTTTAGTGTGTACAGGATGAGAATCAACTCTAGTTATTCCTGAATTTACAACATTGTTTCCTGTCAGAGAAGAGATTTAGGGATGTTGGTGAAGTTTTTGATATGCTTGGGCACATTTTAATCCAGTGTTTGGAGCTTCTAAAGCTTCTGATTTAGGATTTGCTTCTTTTGGTCATTGTCCTATGGACACTTTGATTTTATCTGATGCTATTTTACGTGATGTACTTGTGATGTACAGTGGTGATGGTAAGAAGTGATGGGATAGATATATAAGAGACTATGAGTAACACAAGGAAGGGGGGAAAGATGACTGGCTATTAAATACAAAATAAAACCAAAGAGTCAAAGAGGTTTTAAGCTCAAAGAGGTTTTAAGCTCCAAGGACCAGAATACTAATGCCATTAATATAAATCCACAATGCATAAACAGACAGCTGATGTTCTTTTAGACATACTGACTGAAATACTAGTGGTACATAGAGGTATCTGGCAGACAGCTGCAAATGCAGGCTTATAACCTGGGATACGAACATACCTGGAAATAAGATATTTGGAAGCTGCTCCCCTAAAAGACTACTAAACTCTAGAACTAAATTGAAACTGTGATATTGCTTCAATGAATAATAGTCAATGCTAAACGTGGCCAGAAACATTAAGTTCCAAGAAGATATCACTAAATTTGGAAACAGTACATTTTTAAATGTCTTTGAGATAGCAATGCCGAATAAAATAATGAGCATAGAAACCAGAAGACTGTAGAAAAAGTAAGAAGAGAATGAGGTAGAAAGGATCATTAGAAAAGAAATACATCAGTAAATCATCAAAATTTTGGGGGAAGATTCTGAGATATATTCCATAATCATAATGTTACAAAATGACTTTTCTTTGCTTTTCTGGATTCTCTTTTCATCCTGTTATACCTGGAATATTAAGTCAAGATGATGTTAACATAATCAGGGGTTAAAGAAATCTTAAAAAAAAGTTATTTTGCTCAGGCTTTCGACACTTTAACCTTTGCAATATCTGAAACAAGGTTTATATTCTTTGGAGAGTCTCCTCAGTTTAGTTTATCAAAGCAAAAGTCTATGCATCTCTCTATTTTGTCATTTCTTGTATAGTTCATTGAATATGCTTGAACTAAATACCTTACCTAATGTGTGGTAAGACCCTTTCCCTTTTTCCTCTGACCTTCCTGAGATGAAGAATAGCCAGCCTCTTTAGATTTTTATTGCTCTATTACAGACTGTCTTAGCTCAGGACTGTAGCAAGTGAAGTCAGTGAAAGAATGCCTTGTTCAACTTCTATGTTGGTAGCCATTATCGCCTGTTCAACTGTTCATTTTTTTTTCATAGGTTGGCAGCAAATAAGGTTGATATATACATCTATGTATATGTTAAAAAGATCATACATTTTTGTGTTTATGGTTAGCACCTGCCACCAGAAAAGTATAGGGGTGTTCTCCCATGTGTCTTAATTTTTTGAGTTAGATCTGAGGGTTTTCCTTTAGATATAAAGATTAATAGAAAGCACATTTGTAACATGGC